CCCCAAAACCCCAAAACCCCAAAACCCCAAAACCCCATGAATGAATATCTGATAACAATATGAAATATATGAAACATATTAGAAATTTAAATTACAAAACCTAAGTACATTCTTAAAATTTCATTAATTAGCAATACTCCCTTTAGATAAGCCAATGTTCATTTTCTGGTAGTATTATACCCCTCTGGATCATATTTAACGTTTCTACTTTAGCTATTGCCTCCCGCAGTTTTAATGCTAACTTTAGACTTTATAGAAGTCATAGTCTTACTATTGCCCATTCCCATTAGAAGAGGTGGTTTATTCCTGCTGTTCCCTTAGTTCTTAGTACTTGATGGCATAGTTTGAGGCATGCTCACAATTATATTACTACTATTACATGCTTCTTTAGATTCTCCTCTTGTAGTCTTGAGTGGCATCATTTTATTCACAACTAGATTATTAATCAATACTTATGGATTATTTCTTCTGGCCTATGAAACTCTAGTCTAGCTGATATTTCTTTGGACTACAGAGTTGTTTCCATTGTTTGCAGTCTATGCATTATTAGAGTTGTAGTTAGAGTCAGGCTAATTATTTGAATTGTAGTTGCTATTAGTGTTTATTCTCAAATTTGAAGTGCTTCTATTGTTATCCTTGCATAATCCGAGACTTGGTTTCAAACTAATCTAATGATTCTTCTGGTTTTAAATTTAATGTGGCATTTCAGCAACCTCATCTTATCTCTTTCTACTCTTTATGAGAGGCTTCTTTGGAATCGGTACCTAGAAGTTAGTTCTTTAAGTTGAGGGATTTCTAAAGCTCTAATTGTTGCCAAAAGATGTATTCCTACTCTTGCTAAATGAATTATTTTATTGTCGGCTTTAGCTTCTTTTGATATTCAGCTATTTGACTCCATCTTAAAGTTGTCTAACTGAATTATATCTGCTAAGGGTACTCTTTAACTATCTTAATTGAACACTTTCCTGATTTCTATTTTCTTCATTTCCATCATAGATGCTGATTCTTACCTGTTTAATCTAATGCTAATCATTTTATGCTATAGCAATGAATGACTAGTCTACAAAGCTTGATGAAGTATCAATGAATTATGGGTTTTACAATGGATTTTAAAATGTTTGATTATCCTATGGCATTTTCTAAGGTCTTACAATTCTAAGTTTCTCTTTGTTATGAGAATTTTACATTTATTTGACTTAAGCATAATACAAACCACTCAAAAGTCCACCACTATTTTTCTTATTTTCCTATATGATTTTCTCTCCAGTAATTTGATTTGTTGATAAATTGCTATTTTTCTGATCTATTGAATCTTTATCTGGAGTTTCAACATCTGTTGGAGTGGTGAGTTCACTTTATAGTAAATCAAACCTCACTTGTTTGTCGTTATTGCTATTCAAGTTATTTCTTTAGGATTTTTCAGAGCTATCTTTACTTGTAATCTAAGAGCTTGTCTATTAGTTACCGTTGCTGTTAGTAAGGCTGTGCTCAGGGAAAGTTTCTTCGTAAAACTCAAAAATATGCATCATACATCTTTTGATTTAAGTTGCCTTCTTTCTAAATCCTGTCATTTAATATAACTCGTGTGGCCACTTATCTTTAGCTTTAATCATCTTTCTAGATGCCATTACAATAGCACAGGCTAAAGTGAAGGAATCATATTATAGGAAAGCATGTTCCTGAAGACACATTTCAGAATAGAATTCAGCGAATTTCTGTGCATTTGCTGCGTTTTATATAGTAGGAGTTTAAAACGTATTTGTTCTAATTTCTAATTCGTCTGTTGTAAATAAAATACCTTGAGAGGTGAAGTATTGAACAAGTTGAAATGGTGTTACAATGTAAATTTCCCAGTTTAGAGTTTCTAGAATATCTCTTTCCATCATAATGAAATCATCATAGGAAAAGGGAGATTAAATTATCGAATTAAGCTTTTAAACCCCTGGATAAGTTTTCTCTAAAAATTTAGCACTAATTAGCATGCATACGACAGAAACTAATTGGATGACCTATTCGAATGATCTGCCTTCTGTGAGTTTGAGACTAAATAAATGTTACTCTATATTTTGGATTGAAAAATAAGCATCAAACACAGCAATACTATGATGAATAGCTTCAGGTTCGAATTGCAAGTCCTCACCCATTTCGCACATCCAATCTACAATAACTCTACGCTTCTTCACATAGGTTGCTGCTGGATTATATAGCTTACTAATTGATTGCCTTTCTATTAATCTAGAAAGCATCTCATCCAATGGTATATCTACTTTGAAGACTAGGTTTCTAGTCTTTACACCCTATGATTTGCTAGATGGATTAATAAAAGATCCGCAATCACTGCAATTTCCGAAGATATCTTGACTACCACCAGAGCTATATTGATTTTAATTTGAGGCGCAATATTCTACAAGATTTGATAGACCCTAACACATTATACACTTAATTCTCTGAATAGGCGTTCTCAACATGCAGCTCTCATATTAATTTGTTATCTGAGAACTATCCTATTCTGTCAAGAATGATTTGGATATAGATTTTTATTGTAAAAATGATCTCTAAGTCTACTAGTCGTTTTATTTGATTTGTAAACATGGTTTATTTGAAGATACTTTAGAATTTGGAATATTGATACTGCCTGGGATATTATTGAGCAGAAGTGCGCTTGGATTTCTCTTGATGTTTGTTTAAATGTTTTCTTTTTCATTGATAAAAGCCATTAATTATTGATTTAGTGTTGATTGGTGTTGATTGAGGGTAATATGATTCACTGGCTTTTAATGGTTGTGCAGAAGTGCGGTTGATTTGCTTTCTTTCATTTTACCTTTGCTTTCTGATAGAATTTAAATTTGAAAAATTTATTTATTTATTTCTTATACGCGATGCACCTGGTGATGGGGTTTTGGGGTTTTGGGGTTTTGGGG